GTATTCTAATAAGTCTCCTTAACTTCTTATTTCGTTAAGTCCACAGACTTACAATTGTGACACTGGAGGGCTAAGCCTAAGAAGGAAATTATTTACCAGGTTTTCTTCTTTTTGTATTCTAATAAGACTACTTAACTTCTTATTTCGTTAAGTCCACAGACTTACAGTTGTGACTCTGGAGGGCTAAGCCTAATAAGACTAATTAACTTCTTATTTCGTTAAGTCCACAGACTTACAATTGTGACACTGGAGGGCTAAGCCTAAGAAGGAAAATATTTACCAGGTTTTCTTCTTTTTGTATTCTAATAAGACTACTTAACTTCTTATTTCGTTAAGTCCACAGACTTACAGTTCTGACACTGGAGGGCTAAGCCTAATAAGACTAATTAACTTCTTATTTCGTTAAGTCCACTTAAATTTCCTGATCTTTGTTTGATGCGGTAAAACTTTTTACTTAGTTGGAAGCTGTCCAGTTTGGAGCTGCTAAGGTTCCCAACTCATTACGTTACGGGTGCTAGTAAGATTTCTCAGCTGTTTACTTTATTTGGTGTTGCTAAAACCTAAGATTCTCTCCTTCGAAACAAAAGGGTTAAGATCTGTTTAAACTATTATTCATGAGCATCTAAACTTCAAATATTTGTTGCTATAAGAAGTTTAATACGATTTGAAAACTTTTTTACAGACCCCGAAATTAATTAAAGGGTTTGTCATTTGCTTGAATGAGTAAAAAAAATTCTTACGAATGTAATTTTGAAAGATATGAGAACATATAAGTGACAACCTTACGGTTGTTTGTTGTAAAGAAAAAAATGAAACTCATGGGATGAAATTATTCGAGTTCGACAGACTTGGAGCAGAATTCTATACACTTTCCATCGTATTTATATGACTTTATACTCATTCTTTACTATGTTCTTTTGTGTCCAAATGTTCGAACCATTTGCTGGGATCTTTATTCTTATTTTTCACTGAGTTATACTGGTTTAGGAGAAGTCCACTCGTTTCATTAATCATGGAAAAAACGCAAATCGAATGAAAATGATTGGGTTTCCCAAAGAGATGGAATGTATATCTTATGTATGATGTTTTGAGTTGTCTTTTCGTCTTTGTTATTGTTCACTCTACTGTTCTAATTGTAAGGGATGTGACCCCCCCTCACTATCATTACTGTTGTTCACTTTACTGATCTGGCTTGGGGGGGGGGGATGTGATCCCTTCGCTAGCGTTACTGTTGTTCATTCTACTGATCTGGCTCTGGAGGATGTGATCCACTCACTGTCGTTGCTGTTATTCACTCTACTAGTCTGGCTCTGGGGATGTGACCCCCTTAATATCGTTTTTGTTCTTTATCATAATGATCTGATAAACTTTTTCGTGAAAACGAAATGTCACATTTTGAGTTGAAATATAAATAATATCGATGGTTATCTGTGAGGTATATTGTAAGTTACTGAGAAGTAGGCCATAAAGAAATAAGTTACTGAGAGGTAGGCCATAAAGAAATAAGTTACTGAGAGGTAGGCCATAAAGAAATAAGTTACTGAGAGGTAGGCCATAAAGAAATAAGTTACTGAGAGGTAGGCCATGAAAAAACGAAAAACAAAAATAACCAATTGAAGAAGAAGGATGAAATTCAAAAAAAAATCTTCTTTCTATTCTTACCCCACAACTACCTCCCTGTGGGGGTACCGTGTTATATGAGCACCACACTGTGAAAGCCTGCATAACCATCGGTCAGCGGCTGTGGTCAGACATGAAGGACCGTTTATGTGCAATATAGTTAGAGAAACGTGACATTACAGAACGTTCGGATGAAGATGTCAGTGACAAAACAATCACTCAAACTTTGCAGGTCGTATAGATATGAAGATATCCAGAAGTGTCCTTTTTGCCTACACGAAATGTCTCTATTAATCCTTTGAAAAAAACAAAAAACATGCTTAAATCTTTTGATCGTAACAATGACGTAGAAGAAAGATTAGATTGTTTTGTCAAACTTTACTGAACTTTTTTTATTTATTTATTCACCCAAGAAACGTTTGTTTAGATGATTTTTTATATGTCGATTCTAGGACTAGTTATCAACAGTGTGTGTCACGAGATGTTAAGTTATTGTGATTTAGAATTACAGTTTCTTCTAGGGCTAGTTATCAACACTGTGTGTCACGAGATGTTAAGTTATTGTTATTTATAATCACAGGCTGTTCTAGAGCTAGTTATAAACAATGTGTTTCACGAGATGTTAAATTATTGTGTTTTAGAATTCCAGTCTGTTCTAGGACTAGTTATCAACAGTGTGTGTGTCACGATATGTTATGTTATTGTGATTTAGAATCCCAGTCTGTTCTAGAGCTAGTTATAAACAATGTGTTTCACGAGATGTTAAATTATTGTGTTTTAGAATTCCAGTCTGTTCTAGGACTAGTTATCAACAGTGTGTGTGTCACGATATGTTATGTTATTGTGATTTAGAATCCCAGTCTGTTTTAGGATTAGTTATCAACGGTTTATGTCACGAGATGTTATGTTATTGTGGTTTAGAATCCCAGTCTGTTCTAGGACTAGTTATCAACAGTGTGTGTGTCATGTAGATGATATAATATTAAAATATCACTCACTGAATCATCCATACATTTTGTAAATTACTTACGGAAAATTTGACAATTATTCATCGAGAAATTATGATCAAAAAAGGAATATTAATGAACCCGTGTGCATAGCTAGTCACGCTAATGAAGTCCGTTTTTAACGTTAATCACGACAATAATAAATCACCTGGAGCTGTTTAGCGGTGTGTTTCTGCTGAACAAAGATTAAACGAAACTGACCGTTGAAATCTAATTCAAGGAAGATCGACGTGCATACGGAATTTTCAAATACGTAAGATGTAGGCTGTACGGACCGTGTTTCATCACGAAAAAGGCAGGAAAAGCTTTCTTAATGATCCAACATGTTGACAGTTTCAGCTATATTAACTACAGCTATTTGAAGCTAAAATAGTATTTTATATATACGTATTCGGAAGTTGTAACACTTCATCAATCTCTGGCAGAAAGTTTAACATCTCAATGTTATCGTGCTCATTTAAACATTAGTTGTAAGTGTTTCTTAAGTTTAAAGATTTAATTTCTATATTCGTTTTACAGAAATCTTTAATAATGCATAATAAAAAATAGTAACAGCTTTCAAAATCTCAGACTAAAACTATAATAAATTAATGATATTATTTATAAGGAGATTCTTTTTAAACACGGCATTCTTCATTTGCTTCCTTAGGGTTTTTTCTGGTGCCTTATAAATGCTTGGAACACTACTGTATTTGTTGTATTCCAGCCTATCTGATTTGTTCTGGTACTGAGCGAAATGCGTCGTCAGCAATAGCTATGGTGGACATAATGTGGTTGAAATACTTAGGGTTGTTTTTTCTGATGCCTTATAAATGCTTGGAACACTACTGCATTTGTTGTATTCTGGCCTATCTGATTAGTTCTGGTACTGAGCGAAATGCGTCGTCGGCAATGGCTATGGTGGACATAGTGTGGTTGAAATACTATTATACACTCTTTTTCTTCTTAAAATCCTAAGGGACCATAAAGAATGTTGATTTAAGATACAAAGAACTTAATATTGTGATAAATATAACTAATTATAATCACGCTTTGCCAGCAACAAGCGTTGACACCACAAAAATGTAAAGTTTTTTCAATAATAAAGAACCGTAGCATATTCCAGTATTTTAACTAACAGCCTATTACCCCACCTGTCTTTCAAACATACACGAACAAGTGATTCAAAACGCATTAATGTCTATAAGTAGAACTACATGAAACAATATTATTCTATATATTTGTAAATATAATCTTTTTTTTTTTTAGGAAAACGGTCTATTGATTTCGAAGAAAACGCTCCCTACTGGCACCCTGATGTTTGGTATACCTTACTGAAATTGGAGAGAGCGGTACGTGTGAGAATAGGCCTAGCTATATATGTAATGACAATATTCAGTCTTTACTACAAAATCAAATTAAAAATGGAAATTTCAAAAATACTTCTTAACAATATTTAAATAATTCTGAGAACTCTTTCTTCGAGTGATAAGTATAACTTATAACTAAGTACAAAGCAATAAAAATATCAAATACTGTTCACCTTACCAAGATATGAATAATCCGTTTTAAATATTTTAGCGTTGTGGTTCGTGTAGAACAAGCAATATTAATATTGTATTCTTTTTTCTTCAACACAGCAGATGAACCTGGTGAGTATTTTTACTTTTAACTCTTTACGCTGTGAAATACATAAAAAGTTTAAAAACAAACGTTTAGATTAATAAAAACAATTTACTTTTAAACCGATATGAGTTAGAAATTAATGAATAAAATATATAAAGATATATCATATTTTAATAAAGCCGTTTTCTTTTTAAAGAACCAAAGAAACAAATAAACATGTTCCAAATTGTTTACAGAAATTTGGAGGCTTGCATAAATGTATTTTCCATTATATCTATCGTCTACAAATAACCACTAAACAAACCTTTGTTTTCTTTTGTTGTTGTTCGAGGTTATTCATGAACACTTAGTTATGTTCTCTACATCTGGTTGATTACTTAGTTATGTTCTCTACATCTGGTTGATTACTTAGTTATGTTTCATATATCTGGTTGATTACTTAGTTATGTTTCATATATCTGGTTGATTACTTAGTTATGTTTCATATATCTGGTTGATTACTTAGTTATGTTCTCTAAGTCTGGTTGATTACTTAGTTATGTTCTCTACATCTGGTTGATTACTTAGTTATGTTCTCTACATCTGGTTGATTACTTAGTTATGTTCTCTACATCTGGTTGATTACTTAGTTATGTTCTCTACATCTGGTTGATTACTTAGTTATGTTCTCTACATCTGGTTGATTACTTAGTTATGTTCTCTACATCTGGTTGATTACTTAGTTATGTTTCATATATCTGGTTGATTACTTAGTTATGTTCTCTATGTCTGGTTGATTACTTAGTTATGTTCTCTACATCTAGTTGATTACTTAGTTATGTTCTCTACATCTAGTTGATTACTTAGTTAT